AAAGTCTATATCTCTTCGATATATTCAAAATACTCAACCATTTACTCTCAGTCTATTTAAGACAGCGATACTTGTGATTTCATATTGAACTTCTAAGTCAACCAACAACCAATTGGGTGTATCTGTGGGCATTTCTGTATGAGAGCAATTATAGTCGTCGTTCGCTAGATCTCCATCCACTGCTTTGGAAGAATATAAACCACTGTCGGGATAATCATTAGTGTGTCTACTTGGTTTGTTTAATGCAAGATTCTCTAATCCAAAAACTAGAAAGAAACGCAAAGATTATCTCACCATGGAAATAAAAGTAATTTATTTACAGTTGAAGTAATTGTAATTGAGTAGCAGAAGTAATTGTACATTTTTTTGTACGGCATAAGATTTGTTTTAAATGTGCTAATACAACTTTATTTCCAACAAGGCTTAAAGATGGGTTACCTTATTTTTTAATGTCAAATTAAGCAAACTATTTAATTAATTGGTGTTTCTAATGAATTATCATGTATTCTTAATCATATCATTATTTTCTTATTGCATGGTTTTTACCAATCATAAATGTCATGTATGTAGAGTCTGGATAAACAAAAAGACTTCTTGACCTTTCTTGATTGGTCACTCAATGGAATTATGTTGGTAATTCTCTATAATTTAGCTAATTATGAATTAATTATGGACATGTGAGACAAACTGGTATTTTTCCAAGTCATTAGAACACCTCTACTATCATTTACCTAATTTCATGCGACAAATGTCATTTACAATACGTAGGCGAAACTAAAAACTCTTTGAGAGAAAGAATTAACGGCCATCGTTTCGACATCTCCCATCATCTGGATAAACCTATTGGGAACCATTTCAACTCTCCCAACCATTCCCTCGCAGATATGAAGGTGGCGCCCATTGAAAAGGTCATCGCAGAAGAAGACACCAACCCTAAAAGTTCAAGACTATACAGGGAGAGCTTTTGGATGAATCAACTAAAAACTATTTCACCCTATGGACTAAATATACAGTTTGATTATCAAACAATCCCATTTGTTGCTCTATTCAATAACATTTCTTGCCAAGCATCCCGAATTATCAAAAGATACTACACAGAATTACAAAATAAATTTCCCACTATTTTTTAAAAAAAATTAGGCATAGCTTATTCGAAAAAAAAAAATCTACAGGATATTGTTGTTCGTGGTCGACTTGACCCCACCGATGATGTAGAGTGATCTAACAGAATTAAATATTCTCATTTTCATTGTCTTTGTACTTTATAGTATATAATAGTCTAAAATAATTTACTTTCTATACCTGCAGCCATTAATCGCTTTTCTTCATTATTCCAGAAAATTTGAAACAGTCAGAGTTTTTATGATTCTGTCTTTTCCACAGACAATTGTCCCAATAATGTTATTTCCGTAAATGTAGATTATAAGTATTATGAATTTCTTTATTAGGTCCAAGAAGATTTATAGGATAACCGTTATGGTCTTCTTTGATTTAGTTCATTGCATATTAGCATCACAATTATTGTAAACATAACTTTAACCCTGTGCCAGTGCCTTATATTGAATAGTAACTGGTTACTCTTCAATCACCCTAATCTCTACTTTCTATTCATAATAGTATTAGAATTTTCATTTTCAAAAATAAAAATAAGGGAACCCATCTTTAAGGTTATTGTAAATGAGTGTCTACGTATTTATTTACAGCATAAGATTTACTTCATATCAGCGTATGCATCTTTTTTTTTACAATATGAGTTCTATATACATAGACTAATGTAATTTTAAACAGCATAAGGTTTGTTTTAAATGAGCGCATATAACTTTATGTGCACAATTTTTTTAAATGTACGTATCTGTATGTACAGCATCAGGTTTGATTTTAAATGTGCTTATACACTTTTATTACAACGTAACTTAGAAATTTGAGGTTGTAACATGTAACATTAACAAATTAATTCTAAGGTATTATAAATGAGATCTTTAGTTACGCCTTAAGTTTTATTTTAATTGAGCGCATACAACTTTATGATCGTAAACAACTTTGTGACCGTATATAAAAGTATTTACAACATAGTTTGTAATTTAAGTAATTGTGAATGAGCTTATAGAACTTACAACAAACAAAAAACTCAGACGAAGAGCTGATCTTAGACCACGTATCTGTCATAACAGTTGTATGTTAAAAAATCGACACTCATTTACAGAATTTGAAGAGATTTGGTGTTAGGGTGTATTGAGACGAGTCTCAATGAAAGCACTGGCCTAGGTCACAGAGCAATAGATAAGTCTATTAATTATGTGAAAATACTAATTAGTCATTAGTATGATTTTAGTTGAAAAGTCACAAACACAAACATACACTGCATGTTATAATTTGGTGTGAGCGTTTGTAATCACCCAAAGATTTAAAATCTGAAAAAATATTAGTATGAGTTATTTCCTTTGAAAACACGTTCAATTTTTAGCCCTTAAACACTATAGAAGGCACAATTCTTGACCGAGTGTGACGAATATTGCTGTGAGTGTTTGTTATCACCTAAGGAAAAATCCTATTAAAAATCAGAAGCATTGATAAAACGCTGACATATCTTTCGACTTCCGAAATCCCATACTACTTTAAATAATCCAAAATTTCTTTCTTCTAACAAACCTATGATACATGTTTTGACTATTATCGGGGACTCTTGTTAAACTGGATTTCTGATATAATAGCGGTGTATTCGCTGAAGGGACCAGGGTAATTCTATATAATGTTAGATAAAATCACTTACCAACTATTTTATCGGTATTCCAAAATCCAAATAAATTCAACAAAACCAATTTCATCCACACAAACCGCATATTATCAAATTGGTCGAGTCAGTAGATGCTTATCATATGACGAATACGGATATTGACACGTTCTTATTAAGTAAGTATGACGAATGGTTTGGACACGATGGTAGATGCTATTCAGACAACCAAATATTTTAATATGTCATAGCCTCTATTACGAAAAATAACATAGACATAAACCTGTAAATAAACAATGAAAAAATCAGTGTTTCCCAACAGGCGTGGAATTCCTCCAATTCTTCTGGAATTATGATTATTGAAGTACTCACAAAGACACGTGCTTTGTTGAATCTACTGTTGCCATTTCCTACCAAGTACTAGGTGGAATGTGGGTTCAGCACGGTAAAAGAAACGTGGTTAGTTGAAGATAACTGACCGAGGTGATCTACGACTGAAATTTACATCATTCACTCCAGACAAACAGATAATCGTGAACAAACATTCGACCCAAGGGTCACATTAAACTCTCTCGATATGTGAAGTATGAATTTATATCCATGCATGGTTAATCATGGAATACATTTTCTAAAATGATTGATTTATTATGAGGAGGGATATATTTGTCTCTTTTGGGGAGGAATGATGTCACTAATAATAATAATAATAATAATGATAATAATAATAAAATCTTTATTAGCGTGGAAATTAAGCCTGGCCTTTTCACAATTTTGCCCTTCAAAGGAACATAACATATAATACAAAAGAAACTAAAAACAGAAAAACTACAATCAAAAAAGCAGTAAAATTATTAACAATTATATACATTGATCATTCAATTGAATATGTTGTTTGATCTTTTCAAGATTTTTTTTCAAATTTTGCCAAAACATTGATTTTCTTTAAGGATCGAGGTAAAGAGTTCCATAAACAAGGGCCTTTATATTTCAAGCTATTCTTATATATAGATTTAATAGGTTTTGGAATAAGAAATCTCTGGTTAATGGATGGATATGGCGTTTTTATAATGAACAATATTTTGAAGATCAACTGGACAATTACAATTAGCTATTTCAAAGAGAAAAATGTATTTATTGACTAAATGACGTTTTTGAACTGTAAGAATATTCAATGATGTAGATAAGGTTTCATGGGAAGGTGACAGTGGAGATGGTTTAAGTACTGGTTTATTATTAATTAGCCTAAAAATCAATTTTTGAAGTCTATTAAAGGCAGCTGAAGAATAATTATTACAAGTATCCCAAATGGTGAAGCAGTTATATGCGGGACTGAAAATGAGCGAAATAGAATAATTTAATAAAGTTTGAAGGAGGAGAGGATTAATCTTGCTCATTTGAAATAATTTCTGATTTAAAATTTTACAAATATGATTTACATGTTTATTCCAATTAAAATTTTGATCCAAAATAACACCCAATAGTTTAAAGTCTAAGAGATTTCAATAGTTGCAAAGAAAGATAATTTCCTTGAATTTTTAATTGATGATTTGAGCCAAAAACATAGTTTTAATTTTCGATTGATTTATAATCATAGAATAATCATGACACCATTGAACGATTTTTATTAGTTTCTGATTGAAGAACAGAGTTTAAAGAGCAAATATCTAAAGATGATGAATAAATTGTAGTATTATCAGCAAACAAATCACGGTTACACGTACTATGAAGTGGAAGATCATTTAATAAAAAGATTGAATAACAAAGGACTTAAAATAGATCCTTGAGGTACACCAAAGTTATACATTGAAATGTTGATTGGTTTTGCCCAATGGAGGTACATTAGTTTCTGTTATGGGTGTAAGATTCAAAAAAAAGACTATTCGAAATTTTTATTTTAAATTTTTGTAACATATATTGATGAGTGCTGTGTGGCAGAAACTATTTAATCTAAAGCTAGATTGTTTTAAATATAAAAGGTTATAAGTAGTTAAATAGTTGTTGATATGGAAATGAAAATGTTTTTCAAGTGCTTTAGAGACAGCTTGTAGAATTGATATGGGTCTGTAACTGAGGTTGAAAAGCACTGGAATGGATCATAAATAATAAAAAAGAATAAATGATAATCATGTGGATAATATTATGGACACGCGTGGATTTGAAAACTTAAAGACAAAGAGAAAGAGACGGTGAGATGTTAACTACTTTTACTGATTGGCTTATTCAAGAATTTGCGTACGTTTGGTCAAACAGATAATGAACCTTTAATGTTTTAATGTGACAAATATCGCCAGTCCCATGCACTATCTACAGTAAAGTCTTGTTTTGGGTGTGAAAAACATCTCACTAATTGACAATTAACAGTGTTGATTAAATTAGGACCATAATTAAAACTGATACAGCCGTTCATCTGTAAACATTGCTGGATACACTCATATACATTGGCTACTTCATATGGTAAGAGTGTACAATTTGGTGAACTGGAACGTTTACCTGTCACTTTTTTTACATGAATTTCTGGAATAAAGAAGATAATCATATATTTAAAGGTTTCCAATTCTTGCTCACTGTTGCTTTAAAAAGAATATAGTCAACGTTGATGAGTGTTGTTCCAAAGTGCCTCAAAACTTTGGTAACAAATAGGCGGTCTATGTAGCTTTAGTTTTTCTTTTAGATTGGAAGCAACTAGCTTTGGCAAAATCCTAAATTGGACTCTCTTTAAACTGATAGTGTGGAAACTTTTGCATTACAAGCATTACACGCTTTGATTGGTTAAAACAGACGTCATTAGAACGTGACTATGGTTAAAAAATATCATAAGATTACACAATGAAGGCGAACAATATCAATAATAAAGATAGCTTGCCAGGCAAGGTAATATACGCCCACTGGCATATTTTTCGATTTTTTTGATTTTCAATTGGGTTTATCCTTGGGTGATAACAAAGACTCAAGCCAAGTTTTGTCAAAATCCGTCAAGAATTGTGCCTTCTAGAATGTTTGCGAGCTAAATATTGAACGCGTTCTCAAGAACGGAGGCAGAAACTCCTACTAAATATTTTTCGATTCTTCTTATTTTCGATAGGGTTCATCCTTAGGTGATAACAAACGCTCACACCAAGTTTCCTCAAAACTCGTCAAGAATTGTGTGATTTAAATTGAGCGCGTTCTCAAGAACAGGGGCAGTAGCTCGAACTAAATATTTTTAAATTCTTCTGATTTTCAATTTTGGGTGATTACGAACACTCACAATAAGTTTTGTCAAAATCAGTCAAGAATTGAGTCTTAAAGAGTCTTTACGAGCAATTGTGGACGGACGGACGGACATGAGTGACAGCAATATACGCCCCCATTTCATGTGTGCGTATAAAAAGGAACTAAATTGTATTCTAATTTGAATTGGATTTATTGAGGATTTTCTAGCACAATGTCCGAGTTTTTGAGATAATTGCATCATGATTCGGTAAGCATTTTCTGGAATTTAAAAAAAAAAACACTAATTACCTGACGAGAAACCGAAATGACGCTAATAAAAAAATATTTATTGAAATTCTTGACAAATTGCACGTTTGGGTTTACTTTCTGAAATAGAGTTTTAACGGCTAGTAAATCAAATATTTAGTTGTCTATAATCTCCTTATTAGAAGTATATATCCCTTTATTCTAAACCTACCAGGTAAGTACTGTGTTGAACAGCCATTGTATATATCACCAAATATCTCTAATTCACATATTGTTAAAACTGTCGGGTTGTTCAAAACTACCAGAACAAATCTTCCCAAACATATTTTCGTACATGTTAAATTTGTCCAGGTGGCTCTCTCTGCTGTGTTCGGGTGATTGACACAAATACAGTATTCAGTATCCACCATGTTATATTTGATATGAGGACCAGGATCATATTGCCAAACAGAAACAGTAAAATCTCTTAATCTATCGCCTAAAATTAAAATTAATATCAACAACTTAAACAGCCAAATCTTCTTTCAATTGATGACTGATAATCTGTGACTGTAGGAGAATTGTTCACACTGTCTCACTGAATATTGTTCACAATAATACAATCACAACTGACAGGGACCTGAGTATTTTTTCTCATCCGACAAATAGTGAATGAGATCATTTCCATATCTGCTTAGACGAGCTGTTTTGGGGCCAAAATGGCAGAATGAAACCGAATTGAAAAATATATCATCTTGACGTATGCCTGCATCGAACTCCAGACCCCTAATGCACAAGTGCGTAATACACTTTAACAACCTTGCTCCCTTTTTAAGATAACAATGGTTGCCTAGCACCAAATTTTATTCAAATCAGATGATAATTTAATTATAATGTGGGCGAATAAAAACTATGTTAAGTAGAATTCAAATAGTCACTGTGAAAAAAATTTTAAATAAAAAAAATTCAAGATGTAAAATAAACAGAATTTCAATTAAAACGAGACCAAATTTTTCGTTCTGTTTCTTAAACTTTTATTCTAAACATAGCCACTTCAATTACGGTCTTACGACAGCCCACTTGAATGTTCGTCAAATTGACCTTTTTTCAAGATTCAAAATACTCAACCATTAACTCCATATCTATTTAAGATCTTGATACTTGTAATTTCATATTCAGCTTCTAAGTCAACCAACAACCAATTGGGTGTATCTGTTGGCAAATGTGTATGAGAGCAATTATTGTCGCCGTCTTTATTTAGAATTCCATCGACCGCATTGGAAGAATATGTTCTATTTGAATATTCACTGGTGTGTCTTGTTGGTTTGTTTAGTGCCAGATTCTCTAATCCAAAAACTAGAAAGAGACGAAAGAATTATCTGAACATCGAAATAAAAGTAATTTATTTACAGTTGAAGTAATTGTAATTGAGTAGTATGACTTAATTAAAGTCATAAAATAATGGTAAATGATTGTATACAATTTTATGTACAGCATAAGGTTTGTTTGAAATGTGCTAATACAACTTCACTTACAACAAGGCTTAAGGTAATTGTTAATATACGTAAACAAATTTATTTACATGCTAGCCTAAGGTAATTGTAAATCTGTGAATACATCTTTATTTACAACATTAGGTAATTGTAAATTGACGTATGCATCTTTATTTTCAGCATGTGGTTTACAATAACTTTACTAACATAAAGTTTGTTTTAAATGTACGTATACAACGTAGCTTTGGGTAATTGTATATGTGCGTAATCAAATTTATTTACACGATAGCGTAAAAAGAGTGCATGCAACTTATGATTGACTATTATCGGTGACTCTTGCCAGATTGGATTGCAATTCGAACAATTAGTGTGTCAGTCCCGCTACAAGGCTGCCATAGCGGTGCATTCCTTGAAGCGATCAGGATAATTCTATATGATCTAAGATAAAATCACTTACCAACTATCTCAACTGTATTCCAAAATCCAAATAAATTCAACAAAATTAATTTCATCCACACAAACGACATATTATCAAATTGGTCTAGTCAATAGATGCTTATCGTATGACGAATACGGGTATTGACACGGTCTTATTAAGTAAGTATGACGAATGGTTTAGACACGATGGAAGATGCTATTCAGACACCCAAATATTTTAATATGACATAGGCTCTATTATAAAAAAACAACATAGACACGAACCTATAAATAAATAATGAAAAGATCTGTGTTCTCACAAAGAAAGTTCCTTAATGATCCACTGTTGGTTAATGATGTACTCATAAAGAAACGTGTTATGTTGAATCCACTGTTGCCATTTCCTACCAAGTACTAGGTGGAATGCGGTTTCAGTACAGTTAATGATGTACTCATAAAGAAACGTGCTATGTTGAATCAACTGTTGCCATTTCCTACCAAGTACTAGGTGGAATGCGGTTTCAGCACGGTTAATGATGTACTCATAAAGAAACGTGCTATGTTGAATCCACTGTTGTCATTTCCTACCAAGTACTAGGTGGAATGCGAGTTTAGTACGTTAATGATGTACTCACAAAGAAACGTGTTATGTTGAATCCATTGTTGCCATTTCCTACCAAGTACTAGGTGGAATGCGAGTTTAGTACGTTAATGATCTACTCACAAAGAAACGTGTTATGTTGAATCCACTGTTGTCATTTCCTACCAAGTACTAGGTGGAATGCGGTTTCAGCACGGTTAATGATGTACTCACAAAGAAACGTGTTATGTTGAATCCACTGTGCTCTTTCCTACCAAGTACTAGGTTGAATGCGGTTTCAGCACGGTTAATGATGTACTCATAAAGAAACGTGCTATGTTGAATCCACTGTTGCCATTTCCTACCAAGTACTAGGTGGAATGCGAGTTTAGTACGTTAATGATGTACTCATAAAGAAACGTGTTATGTTGAATCCACTGTTGCCATTTCCTACCAAGTACTAGGTGGAATGCGAGTTTAGTACGTTAATGATCTACTCACAAAGAAACGTGTTATGTTGAATCCACTGTTGTCATTTCCTACCAAGTACTAGGTGGAATGCGGTTTCAGCACGGTTAATGATGTACTCACAAAGAAACGTGTTATGTTGAATCCACTGTGCTCTTTCCTACCAAGTACTAGGTGGAATGCGGTTTCAGCACGGTTAATGATGTACTCATAAAGAAACGTGCTATGTTGAATCCACTGTTGTCATTTCATACCAAGTATTAGGTTGAATGCGGGTTAAGTACGTTAATGATGTACTCGCAAAGAAACGTGCTTTGTTGAATCCACTGTGTTCTTTCCTACCAAGTACTAGGTGGAATGCGGTTTCAGCACGGTTAATGATGTAGTCATAAAAAAACGTGCTATGTTGAATCCACTGTTGCCATTTCCTACCAAGTACTAGGTGGAATGCGAGTTTAGTACGTTAATGATATACTCACAAAGAAACGTGCTATGTTGAATCCATTGTTGCCATTTCCTACCAAGTACTAGGTGGGATGCGGTTTCAGCACGGTTAATGATGTACTCATAAAGAAACGTGCTATGTTGAATCCACTGTTGTCATTTCCTACCAAGTACTAGGTGGAATGCAGTTTCAGCATGATTAACGATGTACTCACAAAGAAACGTGCTTTGTTGAATCCACTGTGCTCTTTCCTACCATGTACTAGGTGGAATGCGGTTTCAACACGGTTAATGATGTACTCACAAAGAAACGTGCTATGTTGAATCCACTGTTGTCATTTCCTACCAAGTACTAGGTGGAATGCGGTTTCAGCACGGTTAATGATGTACTCATAAAGAAACGTGCTATGTTGAATCCACTGTTGTCATTTCCTACCAAGTACTAGGTGGAATGCAGTTTCAGCATGATTAATGATGTACTCACAAAGAAACGTGCTTTGTTGAATCCACTGTGCTCTTTCCTACCATGTACTAGGTGGAATGCGGTTTCAATACGGTTAATGATGTACTCACAAAGAAACGTGCTATGTTGAATCCACTGTTGTCATTTCCTACCAAGTACTAAGTGGAATGCGGTTTCAGTACGGTTAATGATGTACTCACAAAGAAACGTGCTATGTTGAATCCACTGTTGCCATTTCCTACCAAATACTAGGTAGAATGCGGTTTAGCACGGTTAATGATGTACTCACAAAAAAACCTGCTTCGACACAAGGGTCACATTAAAATACCTTGATATGTGAAGTATGATTTTATATCCATGCATGGTTAATCATAGAATAAATTTTTCGAGTGAATACTTTAAAAATGATTGATTTATTATGAGGAGGAATATATTTGGCTCTTTGGGGAGGAATGATCTCACTGAGGATGAAATGAATTGGAATGGTTCATAAATAAAAAAAAAATAGAAATTATAATCGTGAGCCCAAATAGGACATGATGAAACAAAAAAATTGTGATAGATATAACATCAATATCGGGTGCCCCCTAAAAAGGATAACACATTTTCATTTCAGTAAAGTCTCAAAGAGAGGACCTTAACATTTTTACCTCATCATTTTACCAAATTACATCTGAACGACTCAGAAAGACCAATCTTTTTTACAATTCCATGTAAAAATATGCCAATGTGGCTGCCATTTTCAAAGCAAACAACAAAATAACACTTTTGCCATGGTAGCATATTCCCTTTCCAGTTTCGTCAAGAGTCATTTCATTCAATTTCTCTCTTTCAGTTCATCTAGCTTTGTCTCAAACATAAATTTTAGTATCAAAATTGTTGATTCATCAGGAAATATTATTCCCCCCTACTGATCATTATCTATTGAGTGTGAAAAACATCTCAGTATTTGATAATTAACAGTGCTGATTAAATTAGGACCATAAACTTGTACAATTGTTCATCTGTAAACATACTGTAGACACATTTGTGTGTCAGTTGCGCTACAAGGCTGCCATTTTTCAGCAGCTGGTATTATAGCGGTGCATTCCTTGAAGGGACCAGGATAATTCTATATAATGTTAGATAAAATCACTTTCCAACTATTTCATCTGTATTCCAAAATCCAAATAAATTCAACAAAATTAATTTCATCCACACAAACGACATATTATCAAATTGGTCTAGTCAGTAGATGCTTATCGTATGACGAATACGGGTATTATTAAGTTTGACGAATGGTTTGACGACAACCAAATATCATTCTAGCCTATATTAAGAACAATAACATAGACATAGTGTTGCACAATAGACGAGGATATCCTCCAGGGCAGCTGAAATTAAAATCATGTTTAGTTTTAACCCAATTTTATACAGCGAATTTACTTTTAATTAATAACATTATATCTGTGACGTACTGAAATATAAACATTTAAAATTAGTGTAGAAGTTATTTCCCTTGAATTCATAAATTTCGCCATTTTGCTTGTGTCGCCTGGGCACTAGACGGCTGATTGTTATGTTTACTGATATAGATTAGCTGCTATTATGTAACTCTATTTTATGCTCTGTCAATGGGTAATCATAATTTTTTGCTCCTTTGGCTTAATCATGGATACCATGACATTTACATACCACCACCACTGGCGCCAGGCCCGTAGCGCAATGTGCCAATGCCAAAGGCCCAAGAGGGTGGCCTCATTTGCACGCTGATCCGATAGACTGATTTCTTCAATTTAGAATTTGTTCGAATTTTGCAAGTTTCTTGCGTGAAGATCGCAACTTACAAACCTGTCGATATATATTGATCAACTGGATTTATCGATTGTCCCGTTTCTTGAACACAGAACGTTATGACAGCTACCATCATAGACTATCAAATCATGACAAATAAATGAGATGATTGCAGTTTTCCTTGGCAATATTCATTCCCAGCCTATTATGAGAGTGTCTATTTGCCACTCGTGGTAACTGTAGCAAGGTCACCACAAGGCTTCGTGTTTATGATAAGTCGTACGTTTTAATATACACAAGTCTGACACAACTTTTGAATGATTTTATAGTTTGAGGCTAGTGTGTCAATGTTATAATGGTGTAAATGATATATAAATTTCAACTAAAGTTTTGTTTTTGTCTTCAGAAAAAAGCAAGCAATGAAATTTGTCGGCCATTATTTAAACGGTGTATAGTTACTTTTATCTCATTCACATATGACCACGTGGTTAAGGCCTAAATTTCATAACATAATTATTTAATATGAGAGTAATAAAAAGAAGCTAAGAAACTAAAGGAACTCAGTTTGTATAAAGGAACTCAGTCTAAAGGAACTCAGTCTATATAAAGAAACTAAAGGAACTCAGTCTGTATAAAGGAACTCAGTCTATATAAAGAAACTAAAGGAACTCAGTCTATATAAAGAAACTAAAGGAACTCAGTCTGTATAAAGGAACTCAGTCTGTATAAAGGAACTCAGTCTGTATAAGGAAACTAAAGGAACTCAGTCTGTATAAAGGAACTCAGTCTATATAAAGAAACTAAAGGAACTCAGTCTATATAAAAAAACTAAAGGAACTCAGTCTAGAAACTAAAGGAATTCAGTCTGTATAAAGGTACTCAGTCTATATAAAGAAACTAAAACTCAGTATGTATAAAAAAAACTAAAGTAAGTCAGTCTATATAAAGAAACAAAAGGAACTCAGTCTATATAAAGAAACTAAAGGAACTCAGTCTATATAAAGAAACAAAAGTAAGTCAGTCTATATAAAGAAACTAAAGGAACTCAGTCTATATAAAGAAACTAAAGGAACTCAGTCTATATAAAGAAACTAAAGGAACTCAGTCTATATAAAGAAACTAAAGGAACTCAGTCTATATAAAGAAACTAAAGGAACTCAGTCTATATAAAGAAACTAAAGGGACTCAGTCAATATAAAGAAACTAAAGGAAGTCAGTCTATATAAAGAAACTAAAGGAAATCAGTCTGTATAAAGGAACTCAGTCTGTATAAAGGAACTCAGTCTATATAAAGAAACTAAAGGAACTCAGTCTATATAAAGAAACTAAAGGAAGTCAGTCTATATAAAGAAACTAAAGGAACTCAGTCTATATAAAGAAAC